GGGAGACCTCTGAAGAAGAGGGTGATGAGCAGTTTCAATTGATTTCGTACGATGTGGCTTAATTGACTTACACAAATGGCTGGAGGGTAGTGAAAGGTGGGCGGCTCGCTATGATGGGCGACTCGCTATGCATATACGTTACCTATAGTATATTATTTATTTTTAGTTTTTTAGAGAATTTTAAGTCTTAAGGATAAGACATATATATTAAGGGGGGATATTACTATAGAGTAGTAGCCCCATATAGTAGCAATAGGTTACTATAAGTAACTACCCTACTAGATATATAGAAGAATAAGCAACTTTGACTTTATATATACACAACTATGTATACCTCCAGCAATTTCAATAGTAAGCCACCACCAATCCCGATTTCAACACCTGCCAGAATCAAACGCAAGGAATTCTACTATGAATCGGGTGCTGAGTCGCTGCAGAAACGCGCTGCCCCTCTATGATGTCACTGTATATGTGGTCTCATGTGTCTTGCGTTTTCTACGCATATTGGATCACATACTACAAGCAAGCCTGGGTTGGTTAAGGTGTAGAGTCTGCAGAACATAATGCGACCCGATCTACCACTTTCCATTCCCCAAAAAGCCATAGGGACTGACTTATTTGCTCACTCGGCAGGGCAGACATGTATGCAGTCTTTGTATTAATCTTGAATCCCTAGCTGGGACGACCGGCACTGCTATCATGGTATCACGTGCCTTGTTCTTCGTTTATCGTCGTCTCTCCTTTTCGTCGTCTCTCATCTCTATCGCACCCCCTATCCATCCTTTCTCTCCAGTATGTCTCTGTCCCATCATTACATTTCAATCAACTCGAAGCCAGACTGGGCCCAGGTGGCATCGTCGACGGCCAAGGGATCTTGACCAGGACCACCAGCGACGACGAGCTGACGAACCCACTCGCTGGCGAGCTCGACGCTGTCGGCATCGCTGTGGATAGTCATGTATCCTCCGTACCAAACACGGATCAACCGTCCACCCGCAGCGTGGATGGCGCTCTGCACCTTCTCCTGGATGGTCTGTCGGAAGCGGAAGATGGCCATCTGGTTGGCCTTGACGAGCTGGTCATTCTTGATGTGGTTGTAAAGGCGAATGGGGTCGAAGAGCACGAGCTCAAGGTCGTTGCCGCCGATTTTGTGGATAGCAAGTCCAAAGCCCATGCGAGGGCAAATACCAGACCAGAGCTGTTGCTGAGTCTGACCAGCAGAGCCTCCAGGAAGCGAATCAATGGAGGGAACGGAGCCCCAGGGGCGGCCAAACCAAGGGGTCAGCAGGGCGACAGAGATAGACTTGCCGGATGCGAAGTCGTCCATAGCTCTCTTCACATAGGCGTCGGTGGTGAAGCAGTACATGGACTCGTCACCGGTAGCCTTCGCCCAAAGACGACGGTCGTTGAAGTCTTGAAACTGAGCGACGGGGTTGAGAGCAAGCTGCCAGACGCTGGTGGGCTGAAAGCTTCCGAGCGCAAGGGCACAGAGGAAGCCTCGGACTTCGAGGGGGAGGGTGTACTTGGTAGGGAGGGGAGGCATCTGGCCGGGATTCTGGGTGGTTCTACCGTAGAGAAGAGAGCGTAAGTCCTTGGACGAGATAACTCCAATGTCTTGAGGCAGAAAGTGGGCGGGAGGCCAAATAGAGGCATTGGCATCGGCACCGGTGATGCTGGTACCTTGAAGCTGAGCCGTGAGAGCACCGAGATCGTTGGGTCGGGTCGCGAGCGAGATGGTCTGCGGAGCGGGAATACCAGCAAAGGTATCCTGGATTTGAATCCAGACGTCAACGGCGTGGTTGAGGTCGGTGTCTTTAGGCATGCCTGTGTATCGGCGGCGGGCAGCAGTGTAAGTCCGCTCAAGCACTCGGATGAGATCGCCGTTCAAGTCGCCCTTGGTCGTGATCTTCGAGGCGATGGTAGAGTAGAACGCCTCGTGGCCGCGAAGGGCGCCGTAGAGATCAACATGGTCGAAGAGGCAATGGAATATCTGAAGCAGGGCGGTGTACATCTCCTGGCGTAAGTCGTCAAACTGGTCTTCCTTGGCAGTCTGCCAGTCGCCAGGGACAACAGCGTCCATGATCTGACGGACGGCATCGCGATCGGGAATGATGGCACCAGAAGGGAAGTAAAAGCCCTTCTGAGCACCCAGGACTCTTCTGGCAACACTGTGCTTCGCCATCTTTTCAACTTGGTATGGGTCTCGGAGGATGGTGGTCTTCTCGAAGGATGATGGTCTTCTCGAAGGATGGTGGATGTCGGGTTGGAGTTGTGATGGAAAAGATCGGAAGTGATCAGGATTTACCTCAGATCAGTAGATATTTGTTGCTGAGGAGATGGAATTTGTGGATTGGCCAGGTGAGAAAGGTGAGAAAGGTGAGGTGAGAGGGGAGTGGCAGTGAATTAGAGGCAGGTGAGCCACGCGGTGAGTTGAGCCCCAGAAGAGAAAGAACGGCTGTCCTGCAGTTGCCGTGTGAGAGCTTTTGACCTTCGCCGGAGTGAGTGAGCGGATAAACCTGGCATGAAAACAAGCAAGGTACGATGATAATCTTTATTTACGGCACAGATACCACATATCTTCGCCTTCTCGCAGACTTAATTGTTAGGCAGTTTGTTCAGTTTGCAAAGGTCACCAGCTAAATGAAGTGTCCCAGGTGAGGAGGAATAGAACACTTGAGATTAACTTATTTAGGACTTTGAACTTTGATGTTCCGGTTATCAACACTTATACGTAGATAGTAGCTACAGACGTCGCTTAGTAGATCGTTGAAGATATTCACACGACCTTCTTCCCTTCCGGAGATCATAGCCCGCGGGCCGAGGCAGTGGTGAACGTTATCGGACGAATAGATAGTAAGATCAAAATCGGGAAGAAAAACAAAAAAGAATGGCCGATATGGGGATCGAAGGACAGGTACGCTGACTCACCGCGGAACGTCAACGACAGCTAGTCATCGTACAACCACCCCTCGACCACCCAGCCGAATTGTTAGAAAGCAGGGGATCTGAACTTCCTATAAAGGCAACCTCGCCTGGAGGACATGCAGCCCCGGAGAACGTTTCGCCGTGCGGACGGCGAGCTCACTCTGGGCAACCTTTTCTGGCATTACTCAAACCAAGTCTCACAAGCTAAGGTCTGGCCCTACCCAGCTATTCACCTGGAGCTTCAACTACCTGAACGCTCTGATCTATCGTGAGCTACAGGTCCACCGACGTCTCACTTTTACAGAAGCCCTGAACGATCTATAACGGCAATAGAATGACAACAGATAGCGGCCTTTCTAAGTGGGCATCGCTGGCAACCAACGTATTGATATATAGGCTGAAATTTGCTGCATATAAGTCAATCATGCTTGTATAACGTGGTTCATCATTGAGCGGGACACCATCATCGACCGGGACACCTTTTCCATATTTTGAACTAAAAACCCTTATATCTCAACCACAATCAATTCAATTGATTATAACTACTCAGAATCACTCGAATCACTGATTTCTTCAGTCTCTGGGCAGGTTCTTACGTTATGGCCGGTTTTACGACAGATACCACAGTGTCGTAAACTTCTCCGACGACGCTTTGAAGACCCCTCGTTTTTTTCTTCCTCACAGCCTTCTTCCTCAATAATCCCCTTTTCAGTCATAATTTCCCTAGCTTGCGATCCATCTAGTGCACCGCTATCCTGTAGTCGGGTTCTTTTAGCTCTCC